CGTAACTCCTCCATGGCGGCGGTTCAGGAGGGGGACGAAGCTTCCTCATATCTTCTTGTTCTTCCTCCACCACCTGAGGCGGCCAGATCACGCGTTCCAATCCCTCAATCACCTTATTGGATTTCAAATTTGCCCCTTCCACAAAAAGCCCAACCGCTGGTGTTCCACCCGGATCAAACACAAATGGTGTTGCGGTCATCCCAAACATCAATAAAGCCAAATTTGCCAAAAAAAAAAAGCATATGTGGTTCCTCTTACCCTCATGGTTCGAGTCCCTTCTCCCCCTGCTAAAGCATGTAACGAAATTTGTGGGTTTTCTTTTTCTTCATCGTCGATTCTCACATCGTTTTTATTGGAAGTTGTATCAGCCTCTTCTTCTCGGACATCGATAACAAACTGTGAGGCCTTGCAGCGGTGACCAGGAACATATTTTTCATCACAATTATAACACAATTTTTTTTCTCGCCGTGCTCGCATTTCCTCAATTGTAAGACGTCGTGCAGTGGGCAAAAGTTGGGCTTTAGTATTGCTCAGCCCGGGTAAGTTGATCTCTATGGTTCACCCCATGCCCAGGGGTTTTGTAGATGTAGGCTTCTTACAACGCAGAAACTTCTCATTAACAAGTCTGGCTAGTTCCATGGCATCTGACAATCGGCGGGGTTTAAACATCCTTACTTCCACTGATAACTCCTCACGCAGGCCACCCAAAAATGTTCCTAGTAATGCTTTTGAAGACCAACCAGTGACTCGTGTGGACACTCGTTCAAACTCCTTCAAATATTCTCGATCGATACGTACCTGCCTGTCGAATCTTGCTCAGCAATTCATCATAATCCTCAAAATTATTTGGCCCAAACCTTTTTATGATGCCCTTTTCAAATTTCCGCCAAGTTGTGACCTCGGTTCTTTCTTGTTTGGAGAACCATTGCCACCACTGGTTTGCCTCACCTTCAAGATGGAAGGAAGCCAATAATATCTTCTTGCTGCCCTGCACCCCTTTCACAATGAAGTATTGGCGAACACAGTCCAGCCATACAACGACATCATTTCCGGAAAATTTGGGAAAATCAATCTTCATATTTTCACAAAATTTACCTGTTCTGAAGGGAATTCTTATCGGATTCAGCCCCACTGGAAGCTGATTCATTAGAAGCGATGTGGCGTGAGCCATTACTAGACGAATGTTCTGATGAAGAAGATGTTGGAGATTTATCGAAAACAAAGCTCAAGTGTTAATTGATATGGTCTTTAAACATTTTATAGTGTTGTAATTTATTAATGTGGTGCTATCATTAAGGATATTTTAATATTATTATTATATATTATGAGGACCTCTTTAGTGCACGTAAGTTTTATGGTTTCATAATTATTTTAATAATATTAGTTTGCTTTTGCACTTATGTGCTTATTTTTTAAGTATTAAATACTCCGTTTGTGTTTTACGGAGTAATAAATACGGGCATGCGGCTAAAATTGCTTTTCTTTTTATTTAATGGATATTCTTTACATTAACTAATGTTTGTGTCCTTTAAGAAATGATGCACCGATTTGTTTGAAAAAAGGCTTAGTACTCTGGTCGTTTCTTCGTATGGAGATCACGGTTGGTGGAGTCCTAAGATAGACACCATTTTCTCTATAAATAAGAAAGGGCCATATTGATTTTGAGATACGACAAAATTAACTTTGTCAATTTCTCAACGTTGCCATACTTTATTACTGATAACTGCAGTATTAGTATAAAAGTGCTTAGACCACTTTATATACAAATCACTTGTTCGGTGTTATTTTATCAGTAGCTAAAATACACCACACACCTTCTTTTTATCCCAAAAGTTCTATCTTGTAACCCGGTTACTGTGATAAGGGTAGATAGTAAACTTTTAGGAAAACGTATTTAATACGTGACTAGAAGTGATATCCGGTCCAGCCATACATTTACACCCTTATAATATCCTCCGGTTCTAACAGAAGATGCCTCTTTCCAGTGCTTCCTCCCTCCAGAATGCTTTGACGTAGGCGATTTGGAGGGTCCTGATGAACTTGATGAAGAGGTTCTTTTTCTGGATCGTCCCTGTTTTAGTGCTTCCATGTTGATCATCAAGGTATTGAGAGATGCTGTAATATGAGCTATTGAATTCTCCAGCTGCTCAAATCTTTCTCGATTAGTCATTCTCCGATACCAATTGATGGATAACAGTCTATATTCAGCAAATTCTTTCTTTGCTATTAGTTTTAGTTGTGATTGTTGAAAATCGAGAATAACATCGGTTAAGGTCAATTAACTTTCATGCCGTTACGGGAATCAGTTTTGGCATATACATAGTTGAGTGGTATGTTCAGACCTCTTCAATTACATTTTGTACGTGGATAGTCTTCTTTATATTTATATTTAAAAATTAATGAAAGTGTGTATTTTTGCATGTAATTGTGAATATATGTTGAGAATCAAACTCCACTGAATAGGCCTTGGTGATTGCAAAGGTTTTCTCCACATAATAACCTTCTGTTAGGAGCCTTTCAGGGTAGTGGTCTTATTATCTTTATTATCGCAATTTTAATTGCCTGATGTACGAGTTCCTTGTGCTTGCATGCCTGGTATGTAGTTTTGGATGACTATAATTTTGAACTATTTCTTTTATATGAAAATTTTCTATGAGCCTAATTATTTCAAATATTTAAAAATGTGGGGGTGCTTAGCTAAAATCTTATTACTTGGATAAAGAGAAAGTAAATTTCTTAGTAGACAAGAAATACTTTTGTAAAGGGAACAATATATTATTTGAAACTTATATTTGGTGAAGATTGATTTTGATGTTGATCATTGTGCTTTATGTTGCTAATTGTGTTGTTATGCTTAATAGTTACCTTAAGTTAATAAATAACTTATACAGAGTACAATTTTTGGGTGTTTATTCATATGTTGAAATAGTGGGGCATATAGTTTTCTTAAATTGAAGAATTAGTGTGCTAGTGTGCTATACTTTAAACTATATCATCTTTGAGATTAATGATGTGATGAATATGAAAAAATACCTACGCACTAAATGATGCATGTTTGATTATTTGTTGCTGGAACTTTTATATGCTTATTTTAGTAGCTATATTGAGTTGATATATGAATATAATTTGAGAATTAAGTCGTAAGGAAGGTGGTGTTTTTATTGAGAAACTTCTTAAGAAGTTTAACATTTCAGTGTTGCAATTTGAATATCCCTTATGACATTAATACGATATTAAAACCAAAACACATCATGTGATTTCAAGGCCCAATAAGTATGTTAAAAAAAGTTTTGTGAGTTTGTTACATTTAATGAAATATGTGTGACCCGTCATATTTTAAAATGTCAGAAGATTGAGCCAATATATGAAAATCCAAATGGGATAATTGGAGTACCTTAAAAGGTTTTTGAAGCTCGAGATATTTGAGAGGTATCATTAATTATGCTATATTTAGTTGAGATTATCCGTTGTAATATACTGATACAACGATAATATGTTTTATTGAGAAATATTCATTGTACTAGAGCGGTGCAATGATGTTATATGAGTATTATCTATTGCACTATAATAATACAATGGTGGTATATATTTTTATTGAGAATCATCCGATGTGCTAGAGGGACACATCGATGTTATTTCTTATTAAGAGTTATCTATTGTATTGCCGGGATACAACGATGACATCCGAGTCGACTCACATGAGATAATATAAAATGGCTTTCTTTTTATTAATTTTTGGTTTCTATATTCTAAATGGCTTTCTTTTTATTAATTTTTGGTTTATTAATTTTTCGTTTGAAATGTGCAACATTTTAAAATGAGCATAAAGAGACACTAAATAAACATACATAACTTAAAAAATGAGTAACAAAAAAATCAAAAGCTTATTCGTATATGCTCATTCATTTTGTATTGTATACTCATTTGAGTTTAACACAATGTAGTATGATATGTTTGAAATGTGCAACATTTTGAAATGAGCATAAAGAGGCACCAAATAAACATACATAACTTAAAAAATGAGTAACAAAAAAAATCAAAAACTTATTCGTGTATGCTCATTCATTTTGTGATGTATACTCATTTGAGTTTAACACAATGTAGTATGATATGTTTGAAATGTGCACAATTTTAAAATGAGTATAAAGAGGTACCAAATGAGCATACATAACTTACAAAATGAGTATAGAAAAATTCAAAAGCTCATTTGTGTATACTCATTTATTTTGGGCTTTATACTCATTTAAGTTTAACACAAAACTCATTTCTAATATGTTCAATATTTATTTGTATATGCTCATTCATTTTATGCTTATACTCATTTTCCAGATTCCTCAACAAAATCTCAGTTTCCTAAATCTCAATATGTCGTCTCTGTATTTTTCTCGCAGCACCCGTAATCTCTGTATTCTTTCTTCTCGCAGGGCCCTCACAACACAGGCCAACAAAGAAATCCCAAGCCCGCCCGTCTCTTTTGCAGCAGAAGGACCTCCGTGCTTGAGGAGAAGTGAGCGGCGACGAGGAGTAGTCTACCGAAGGGGATGATCGAAGAATCCAAGCGAGATCAAAGAAGCAGGTGTGTACGGGAAGATCGGAGAAGTCCAATGTTAGGGCGAGAAGCGCAAGGGCGTAAAAAGGGCCGGCTGTACCGTGCGCACGTTACAGCCGGCTGTAGGATGTAATTTACGCCGTGATGTAGGTTTTTTTAAATAGCCGTGATTATCCAATAGTTTAAATTAGTTTAAATTAGTTGTTGTGATAATAGAATTTGTATTTTCCAATAGGAGGTTGACACATCATTAGTTTAGTATATAAAAGTATAGATAAACTTAAACTTGATAATTGTTTTATTAAAATGATTCCAAAACTAGTTAAAATACTCTTTTCTTAAATAAATTGAAGTAATTAATCAAGCCATACAAAATTTAACCATCTTCTCCCTCTTTTTAGGCAGCTGTTATTTCCATCCATATAAAAGGTTAACCGCTTTTCACCCCACCGAAGAACATAATAACATAGTTACACAACACTAACAATTAATTAAACAATTAAGTCGTAACAACCTTTTGCCTTTCAATCCTTCTCAAATTATCCCATGTCACAGGTAAAGTCTCCGGCCGCCGCATTCCTCCTATTCATTACAATTCTTCACCACTCATCCACCGCTCCGACGGCGAAAGCGGAAATCAGGCATGGCATCCCAAGAGATCAGCTAAGGAAACGGAATCCGGTAAAGGCAGCGGGGGGAGACCACGGCCACCACCTCCTCCCGGGCCTCTCCCTCTCGCTGCCCGAGCCGCCCTTCATCCCGCTCTACAACTGGGCCCAGCACGAATTCGTGCAGGCCCACAACGAGCTGCGCGCGAAGGTCGGGTCCCCGCCGCTGGGGTGGGACCCGACCCTCACGAAATTCGCGCACGACTACGCCGTGAAGCGCAAGCAGGATTGCGACTACCGGATCCACTCGGGCGGGCCGTACGGGGAGAACCTGTTCTGGCAGCTGTACAAGGAGTCGAGCCCGAGGGAGGTGGTGGCGTCGTGGTTCGACGAGCAGCGGTTCTACGACCACGGGAAGAAGAGGTGTGTTTGTCACCCGGAGAGGGAAGGGTGTGAATGCGGACATTATACGAATGTGATTTGGCATAGCACCGAAAAAGTCGGGTGTAGCGGTTACGTTTATTGTAACGGCCAGAAAGGCATCCTCGTTGTTTGCTCCTACCATCCCAGGGGCAATATTCTCGGCAAAAGTCCACTGCCATAATCTTTTTGTTTGATTTGTACGAGTAAGTGTACCTTTTAAAGTAATAAATTCTCAATGTATTACACAGCAAAATTTAGAAAATGTTCCCCAAAAAATGTATAACACCAGCAAGTTTATCTTAGATTGATGTATGAAAGTTTGTCCACCGTAATAGGTATGACATCAATTAACAAACTAATTTAACACTCTCTTTGATAATAATGAAATTAACGGAAATTGATAGAATCTATTGAAAAAAATGAAATTAATATGGGAAAGTTCCCGAAATGGGACTAAAAAAGTTTGAAAATTCCAATATAGGACTGTCATGTTTTTATTCCCAAAATAGGACTAATTACTACCAAATTTGGAAAATACTGCCATGTTTGAAGTTTGGTACTGCCAAAACATGACAGTAATTAGTCCTATTTTGGGAATAAAAACATGAAAGTCCTATTTTGGAATTTCCAAACTTTTTTAGTCCCATTTTGGGTAATATCTCAATTAATATTGATTAGTGCAGATTGGGTCAATATGTAACTAATACGTATTGATTACTACTCCGTATTAAAAGTGAAGCTAACTAGCTAAGTCACCAATCTGCGGAGTTTGTGATATGTCTGAAATCATGATTAGACGCCATTTAATTTGTAACAAAAATGATAATTGGGATTTGGGAGGGGTAAATTGGACGCCGATCCATCTGAGAATTTGAGAAATCATTAAGCAATAACTATCTTATTGCATAAATTTTTGTTTAATTGATCTGAGAAATCTTACATTTTACTCTGTATAACATTTGAATGTCAAATCATAACATGTTCCATTATGTTAATAGTCATTTTAGGATTTTTTTTGTCGATTTAAATTGGTCTATTCCATTTGATGTTATTGATTTTTTGTAAATTGGACTGTAATAAAATTGTAAGTAAATTTGAATGGATCAGAAAGGCATAAATTGGTCGAAACACCATTAATATATTCAAATAATCCGAATTTATGTTGATCATGTATAGTTAAGAACATGATCAATGTATTTAATAATAAACAATTGGGAAAAAATTAAATAGGAGTAAAAATATTTGAAATTTCCTAAGTAAAAATAGGAATAAAAATATTTGATAGTTATGTTTTTATTTCCTAAGTAAGAATAATTACTGTCAAGCTTTAAAAATACTATCACATTTAAAATGTGATGATGCCCAAATATGACAGTAATTACTCTAGTGTAAGAAACATAAAAACATGATCATTGTATTTTTTTTTTTTTAAAAAAAATCGTCTATTCAAAGCGACTTATTTAAGTAATTTCATAGCGTGTGTAATCTACAAGTTAGTGTGTGACTTGTATATCAGTATATCACTATCCCAAAACCATAAAATGTTTTTATTGCACAAAGATCGTTTAGATTGACCATAATAAATTCATATTCACGTCATAACAATGCAATGGTAAGTGTATTCTAATGTGGTCTATTGTGTCTTAAATGAATCTAATGTACCTAGATAATGGAAGCACTTCAATTACATGCATTCTCTTTTTGGATTTCAATTAAATGCATTCTAGCTATTAAATGGATTTGAAGAATCTATAGTTATTTAACATAGAAGAAATAAAAGACTGGTGATATTACGTGAAAGAGGGAGATCGAGGCGACCGGGTCTGGGGTTTCTCCTAGGCGAGCAGTCTTGTGGTTACCCAACAACAAGCCATTTTCTTCTTCAGCAGCCCCACAACGCCTATATGACAGAGATCGCGAACAAGGCAAGGGTAGGCGGGTCGCGACTGGATGGGGGAAGAGGCAGACCCAGCGCTAGATAGTTTGGAAAAGTTAATCGGCCAGTGCGACAGTTTAGAGATCAGGACCGAGGATGATGAACTAGTGCTCGATGAGAAGGACGTTGTGGACCGCGTGGAGCAGGCTTTTCCAGAGGCTCACCCCCCTCTTGAGCCGCCACCATGGAGTGCAAGAGAGTCTAGGGTTTGTAAGAAGATGAATGAATTCTGTTTCAATTCTGTTTTATTTTGTTTGCATTTTTCTTTCGAACTACATGTTGTTTGGAGTGTGTTTTTATTTCCTAGTAGAAGAACTCTAGAACTTAGGACAAGTGATGAGAAGTCTAGTTTGCCCGTCATTGGCTCAGTTGGGCCCATTACAGGATCAACAAATCTAATTGCTTCTACGGAGGTGATATATCTAAGTCTGGTTCAAGGGCGGATGACAGACAGAAACATTTTTGTCGTTTTGTTATTTTAATATAAGCCACTTTCGTTCAAATAAAAAATTGGAGAAATAAATAAATTAACCATTCAGCTACATATAGGATAACATATACTATCGTAATATGTTTTTTACTAAAATAATTACTAGAGTAAAATTCATGGGAAAAAATATGACGAAGGCTACTATGAGTATATTTTTATAGTCACAGTGGCGTCTAATTTGAACATAAGTATTATCACGAAAAGGGGTTAGGGCACAAACATCATTTAGGTATAGAGGTGGTTAGGAAACATATAGGCATGCCAATCATATATGCAATCAGTTAGGGATTTCCATACGAAAAGACAAAGGAGGTCATGTTAGAACTTAGAAGAAAAGCATGAGTTAAAACTCATAACCATGGCCTAACAAAGAATTATGCTTCCACAAATTCGTACACCGAATTACGTATGCAACATGTTAAGGCCTTTAAAGGTCCATGCACCCACACAAGAGTATGCCAAAGAACAAAAACCGGAGAGGAATCACCTTCGTTTTTTGTGAAGAGGCAGCCATTTTGAAACCATTTTGTCAATGACTTATTGAACACTAGGGTCAGGGTAAGGAGGATGGTGTATAGGCAAACCGTAGAACATAGTCCATACTTGTTGTATCCACCGGCCAAAGGTAGATGCAATGGCTATGAACCTAGATTCCTCGTAGGATAGTAGAAACCCCAAGTAAGATTTCAACTCTTGTCCTCCTTTAAATCCTTCTCCATTCTCATAAATCGGGCAAGATCTCAAAATCAGCGATGAAATTAGACAACTTCTCAAAATTGGGGACGAAATTGGGCAAGATCTAGGAATCAGGGGAGAATCAGCCGAGTCCTCAACCATCGCACCATACCTTTGTGAAGAAAAAATGATCAAAAATTAGCTCTGGAATTAAAAAGAAATTAAATAAATCAAAACTTATGAAATTTTAAATCATAATTGATGGCTTTTCAATCATTCGATCCTTGTATCAACTAGGGGTGGGAAAAACTGAACTCGAACCCAGAAACCGACCCTAGCCAGACCCGAAATATGATCTCGGTCTGGGTTTTTTCTTATTAACCGGTCCGAATAAAAAAATCCGGACCGGACCCAAAATTTTGGGCTCATTAAGGGGCTCTAATATCTATAATCCGGCCCAGACCGATAAAAAACCGAAACGATTAGCTTTAATGTAAAATCAATATAATATACGAATCTGGTTTATAAATTAATTCCTATATATGATTATAATCATGGTGGAGTGATGCACCTGTCAGACGGGTTGAGATGTGTGGAGAAGAGGTAGGGAAGCGAGGGAGAGGAAGACACAAACAAATGTGGGTTAGGGCCTTAGGGGGTTCGAAGTGATATGCTTCTTCTTGGTTTGGATGAATGCATGACTTTGGAGAGAGCAAAGTGAATGAAGGGTATTCGTGTGGAGGAGTGATCTCGTATCATCTTTTCCTCTCATTTTTTTCTTGTTTTTTATCCTTATATATTTATAAACATTATTTTTATCCTTTTTATTTTATCATTTTTATGTATATTTATCTCTTTTTATATTATCTTTTTTATAATAGCTTATCTTTTTTATCTTTATTTTCTTTCTTGTCTGTTTGGTGGTGATATCATATATCGTTTCATGTTAGCCGACCCCAATATCTTTTGGGACTAAGGCTTGGATGTTGTTGGAGGAAAGTGTCAATTGAGTACATAAACTTGTATGAGGTGGAGTAAGAGTACATTATATTGCATTTGACATTTGTAAGTATATAAACTCGCTTATTTAGTGTTAATTGAGTATATTTTTTAGATTAACATGTTAATGTGGCTGAGTTGGCTAACGGAATGCTGAGTAAGAAGGGGTAATGGACCAAGATTATGGCGTCGACCTTCACGAAGTTAACAAAAAAGCAAAAATCGACCTTCGGAGGTCGACCTGAAGGGGTGCATCGACCAAGGGGAAGTCGACCAAGGGGAAGTAGAATAAGGAGGTGGGGGTGCCGTCGACCTTCAAGAAGTTGACCTATTAGCATTTTGTTAGTCAACTTAACCGTATTAACGTGTTAGTCTAACGGGTGTACTCAATTAACATTAAAACCCCAACTTTGAGTACTTAAAAAGATCAAATGCGACATTGTGTACTCTTTACTTCATCTCATATAAATTGATGTACTCACTTGACACCTAAAGATGTTGTTATAGCAAATACCCGATTCAGACCGGATCAACACATTTTATCATTTGTTCTTTTTTTATCGTTATTTTTGTTCTTATTGATAATCATTTATATTTATATTCGTTCTGAATTGGGGGAGATGAGAATCAAAATAATATCTCCCTCCCCAGCAACTCATACTAATCGGCGCGTTTCGACGGTTCGACCCTCTAAAGCTCTGAAATTTCGCCCAAATCCCACCACTACTCTGAAAGCCCTAATCGGCGCTCTTCAATCTTTGCTAGCGGTGACTGGTGATTCGGTGTTCCACTACCAGTCCGCTGCTTCTCAGACGTAGATACAGGCAACGAAGACACTTGCAGTGTTCTTTCTCTGGAAATCCCGGGTACCCTTTCTCGCTTCGCCGCTCCTGTTTTGTGTTCGTCTCCGAATTCAAAACTTATATAATTGAAATTATGGATTACCTCCGACTTAAAGGCCGTACAAAATCGACAAAAGAAACGTTTGAATATTATAGTCCCCCAAACAAATTAGGTTAGGTCGTGTATGATAATGCCAAAATGTGTCCCTGTGATTTCACAATTGAAATAATTTACTACTGTTTTGGGGGGAAATATAGGACTCATATTTTCAAATTTTACCCTGATTTCACTCTTATTTTGGGAAATTTCCCACTGTACTGTAAGCTTTTCTGTTTAAATTTAAAGTTCTTGCTTGTTTTTCACTCTGCAGGATTGTGTTATTATTGAATTCACTCTGTGATGGAAACCTCTGTTGAAGAAGAGTTGTCTGCATTTGAAGCGAAAGTGAAACGGACCGTGTATATTGACAACCTCTCACCACTGGTTAATGAATCAGTCCTTAGGTCTGCCTTTGGTCAGTTTGGGAATGTCACGGGTGTTCAGTTTATTCCCAATTACTTGGAACCAAATGAAACCTCAAAAGCTGCTTTGATTGAGATGGAAAATGCTAGGCAGGCCGAAGGGATAATATCTGACATCTCTAATTCCCCTTTTATGGTATCCGGGATGCCAAGACCTGTAAGGGCACTCCCTTCAGAAGCTTTGATGTTTGATGAGCGCCCGAGAAGACCGGGAAGGAAAATACACTGCCGTTGGTTGGAATCCGATGATCCTAAATATAAGGTGGCCGAGAAGCTTGTACAGATGACCAGGAGACATGCTGCAGAGGCCTCTTTCCTCCGAACGGTATAACTTTAAATTCTGTTCTCTTCGTTTCACAATTTCCATTCTCATATTTTCAACTATGAAGCACAATAACTGGGAATCGAGAAACGTGCGTCATTTTTTAACGTGTAAATATACTTCGTATTAAACAAAAGAGTACATGTGTGAATAATCAGGTTTACTATCATAACAATATCAATTTATGGTGAACTCCATATTTTGGAATAAGTTAGCACTTTGTTATGCATGATGCAAAGAGATTTTAAATACATCTCCCTCTAATGAATAGTTTGTTGATCATCCATACTTTTAGTGTCAAGAGCAAGAGGATAAAGAGCTTGCAATCCAGCAAGCAGAGGCATTGAAGTCCAACTACAAGAAGTATGAGCTGATTGACAATGTTTTTTCTGACAAAACCGTTCATAAGCTTGGAGATCGATATCATGTCCGTGTCTCAGATGCTTGAAGACTTGTTCCCATCCCATTCTGCAAGCTTGGTCATCTTATTCAAATGATGTTTTTGTTTGTGCGAGCACATGTATTTAGTGATCTTTTATCGTGATCATATTTTGGTAGCATGCTCTTTGTAGACTGTAGTTACTACGCATTATCTTTTTTTTTTATTACTACAATACCAACTATGATCCACAAATCATTCAAGGCGAGTGTTAGGATTAAAAGACATTAGGCATTTAGGCATAGACCCTTTGACGCACATTTAAAATACTAACTTAGACTAGTTTTAATTCTAGACCAGAAAATTAAATCTAAGTAAAAACATCCTAAGTAAAATAACATTCTTTTGACATGGGATATCCATTGAAAATAACACTATTTTCCAGTAACATTATATTTTGGGAAGTAAATTGGGTAAATATATATAGGCATGGATCGGGCCCAGTCTGACTGGCCCGGACCGCCACTTTGTGGTACCAGACAGAACGGGCCGGGATTGGGACTGGGGGCCGGGACCGGGACTGCGGGCCTGACCCGAGGGTAGGGGAGAGGTGGGCTACAGTAACAGGATATGGGTGCTAAGCAATCGGGCCGTTTTTTTGCTTTGCTCTTTGACTAGGTGGGTGGGGATGGGTGGTTTTGGGGGTAGGAATTAACTTCAAAAGTATTGAGGGAAATTCTATTTCCAGCCCCATTTTTACTAATCACAGCCCCTTCATTAAAAAGTAAAATATAAAAATAATTCAATTGTCTAAACTGCCCCTTCATAACGAGCGTAAACATTATTAAGCGGATGTTTGGGATCCGCGGCAGCAAAAAACGCAGGCCAAAAAGCAGAGCTCTCTAAGGCTAACCGCAACCCGGTACCGTCAATAAATTAAATTCTCAACTAATTTATACGTATGCAGTCTGTCAATTCAATTTTTACTGCAATCCTGCTCTGTCAATATATTCAGTTATCAAAGTTTTTCTTTAATTAAAGCCTTCATTTTATTATTATAAATTATTTTTTTTATTATCATTTTTGCGTATAAATATGATATTAAAATACGAACATTTTGATGTAAAAATAAATAAATTTGGAGTTCGACCTTTTTATTGTTAATTTATTCATATTTTTATTTTTAAACTTTATATATATATGATATTGGTGTCATATGAAAGATTACAAAAAATTATGAAATTTGATATACTTTTTATAAAATTTGAAGTAAAAATACAAAAGTTATAATACATTTAAAATATTTGGGATTTTTAAATTTCCCAACTCTAGTGAAATGCATGCGCCAGGTGATTACTGCAGCAGTTTCCTATCCGTCAATAAGCTGATTAATACTCAACCCCCTCTGTGCTATCCAGCCACTTTAGCACCGAGAAATACATGGGATTGCAGCATATATTGGGGCGAAATGATTAAATTTGGCTTTTCACCCTAACATTTGCAGACAGCCTAACATCAAAATATATGCGAAGTATATACTCGTATGCACCTAGTATATATTATTACTCCCTCTGTCCCGTAAAATTTTTCCCACTTTTCTTTTTGGATCGTCCCACAAAATTCTTCCCACTTACCATTTTTGAACAATTTGTGTGGTTTACATTCATTTCACATTTTTCTTACACAATCACAATCATACATTTCCACTTTCTTAATATTCGTGCCAAGTTAAACTGGGAAGATTTTTGGAGGGCGGAGGGAGTATATCCCAACTTGATGAGTAACAAGTGAAGAGTCGTAAGAAAAGGTCTCAAAAGAACCAAGTAAAAAAGAAGAATCTTACTTATCGAACTTATTAAATTGAGTAAACTGATAGTCACAATCATTATCCTGTTAGAGAGCCAAAAAGTGTAAATTTTTGAAACAACAAACAAGGAGTGCAAAAGTAAGAGTTGTATTTTGTTCACCCCTTCATGGAGGGTGAACAACACCCCCTCCCTCCAACACATGACACTTGGTATTACAATTGCAAAATTTAAAAGTTTTGTCAAGTGTCATGTATTGGAGGGAGGGGGTGATGTTCACCCTCCATGAAGGGGTGAACAAAATAGAACTCCAAAAGTAACCACAACTACACTGTAGATGGTTCTTCCAAAGTGCGGAGTATTGTTTCAAAGGGGCGGTGGTGGGTCACTGGGTGCCTGGTGGGAGCCACTCTCTTTTTCTGGTTTTGAATAACAATGAGATAATTGAGATTTTAAAAATCAAACTGGGTGTGTTGAAAAAGATGCCCAAATGCCCAACAATAGAAGGCGAGAACATTGGTTTTAGAAACAACATTGGAACTTACTCCTCCAAGTCCCAAAATAGCCCTATTCTTTTTTCCCTAACTCAGCGGTCGATAATATGTACTCCGTACTTCGTGGTAATTAAGGGAAATTTGTTGGTTCAGTCCCGTAACTTATAGTTATACTTGTTATTGGTCATGTAACTTTAGTGACTTGTAGATTACATCCCGTAACTAATAAGTTGGTGCAATTTTGGTCCTTCTCTGCCGGAACTTACTAATTTTGCCGGAAAAAGAAATGTCACTTGCCAGTTGGTCAATTATTTAGAACTCATATGCTGACTCAACTTTGGCCTTTTTTCACAAGTCTAAGCCTTTTAAAAAGAGTGTACGCAACTGTTATATGCAGTTATGCACTTTCGTTTTAAAATTCAAGATCCTGGGCCAACAAATGTTATTCTTAAATTTAAATACACTTTAATTTTTAAACGAATTAATTATAAATTTCACATGCAAATGTTATTCTTAAATTTCTAGTTTGTTTGGTAAAAAATAGAAGCAACAACAACAACATCCAAGCCTTAGCCCCAAAAGATATTGGGGTCGGCTAACATGAATCGATACATAATATCACCATCAAAAGGAATAGAAAGAAATTGAAGATAAAAAAAATAAGCTATTATAAAAAAATATTACACGGGATGAATATATTAAAAATGATAAAATAAAAAGGGTAAAAATAATGTGTGTGTATATATAAGGATAAAAGAATAAAAAACAAGGAAAAAAGATGAGAGGAAATAATAATACATTAATACGAGATCACTCCTCCACACGAATACCCTCCCTGCACTTTGTTCTCTCCAAAGCATATCACTTAGTAAAAAATAGAAGCAAATCAACTAAATTAAAGAAGTTGAACTTCTTACTCTGTTTCTAGCACACACATGAATCCTCTTTCCAGGATTGCTATCTCCAGGTTGGGTTACACGTACTCCCCCCCCCCCCCCCCCCTTGCAGATCCGGTAATAGGTTGTGCGCAGTAATAGGGTTTTCTTTCTTTGCTGGAGAGATGATTTTCTTACTCCAGCTAAGGGCAAATGGGTTCCAAACAATTGACCTGCTGGCAAGTGGCGTTTCCTTTTCCGGTGAAATTGGTAAGTTCCGGTAGAGAAAGACCAAAATTGCACCAACTTATTAGTTACGGGATGTAATTTGCAAGTTACTAAAGTTATAGGACCAATAACGGGTATAGCTATAAGTTATGGACTGAATCAACAAATTTCTCTAGTAACTAATTTGCCTGTGTTTCGAGTACACGAATTTCTCTCTAGGGTTCTCTCCTTCGTGAGAAGTATCATTCAGCATTTGAATTCACACACTTATTGACTCGTTTTGCTATCCCTTCCATTCCGGAGTATCTGGTTCACGGCCGGACAGAGCAATTATGGCGAATTTACATCTCAGCGATGATTAGGAGGAAATTTTGAACTTTTCGACAGAGGGGTCCCAAGTGCGTCAAGGGGATGCCAATCTCTACTTGGTAGGTCGGTTTCTCACCACTAAACCTATTCGTACTCACATGATGAAGGAACGACTTGCCACATTATGGGAACCACATGAAGGAGTAGCGATTACAGAAGTTCAGAGAGGTATATTTCTTTTTCAGTTCTTCCACAAACTGGATATGCAGCATGTGAGTTTGCACGGCCCATGGCATTTTGATAATCATCTTCTGATTCTGTCACGATTGGGAGATGCTGTTATTCCATCCCAAGTTCCGTTATTTTGTGTGGACTTCTGGGTCCAAGTTCATGACATTCCGATGACATTAATGACTGAGACGGTGGGAGTTGGCCTGGGAAATTTTATTGGTAAGTTTGTTGAGTATGACCCCAAGAACAATGAAGGTATTTGGCGCAAGTATATGAGGCTGCGGGTAACTTTAGACGTCCTCATACCGCTCAAAAGAGGAAAAAGAGTTCAACCTCCTGATGGTCAAACTCAGGTTGTTCGCTTTAAATACAAAAGGCTCACTACTTTTTGCTTTTTGTGTGGATTGTTGGGTCATTTGGATAATCAGTGTGATAAGCTATATCAAATGGAAGAAGACGATGGTTTTCGAGGGTGGAATTCTGATTTGAAAGTAGAGCGCCGAAAACCAGGGGCACTTGGGAGATGTAGATGGTTACGGGAAGACAGAGGGGGGCAATGGACTAAACAAGGTGTAACAGAGGGCAGTAGTACAGATCAGACCTTGCATAAGGATTTAGAAAATAAATGCATGCTACTGGAAGGCGAGGTGAGACATAGTCACCACTCATTGCAAGTCTCAAAAGGTTTGGCTGAAGAAAGCGAAGAAGCGGCAGAGAAAAAGCGGAAACACCATGGGGATGAAGGTAATTCTCAAATGACGCCAATGCGAGTTGACATGCCACAGGAGCTGGAATATGAGCAATCGGCGAGTAAAAATTTTTTTGGGGTGGGTCCTGGGTACCAGGCCCACCAGGACCAATGATTCTGTTAAGTTGGAACTGCCGGGGATTGGGTCACCCGAGCACAGTTCCAGCACTTCGTGACCTGGTTCGGAGACATAAACCGGATATTATTTTTCTTTGTGAGACTCTTTGCTACAGTACTAGGGTGGAAGAAGTGCGAAGATTGATTGGTTTTGAAGCGTGTTTTTCTGTGGATAGAGAAGGCAAAAGTGGTGGTTTAGCTATTCTTTGGAGGGTAGCCAGTATGGTAGACCTCGTGAACTATTAAAAAAACTTTATTAATGTGCTGATAAAAGAGGATGGTTCAGATCCTTGGAGGCTTACGGGCTTCTATGGTGTTCCTGATAGGAGTAGGAGAAGAGAATCGTGGGAAATCCTAAGGTCACTTGCTAGCCTTTCAACCTTGCCATGGTGTATTGTTGGCTATTTCAATGATATTTTGACGCAAGATGAGAAAAGGGGATGGGTTGATCATCCAGCGTGGTTACTACGTGGCTTCAGGGACACTGTGATAGCATGTGGACTTGTTGACATACCTCTAAAAGGTCGGCCGTTTACTTGGGGCCGTTCACTTCACACTGGAGATATTATTGAAGAGAGATTGGATAGGGCCATGGCTACAAAGGACTGGTGGCAACGTTTTCCATCGTGTAACCTTCATAATATTATTACCTGCCATTCCGATCATTCACCCATTTTACTTTCTACTGAAACTAAATTCATAAAATATGGCAAGAGAAGTTTTAAATTTGAAAATGCTTGGCTTTTAGAGCCGGAGCTACCAAACGTGGTGGAGGTAAGTTGGGCAGATAGTTCTGGTGAAGATTTGCTTCAGAAAATCTCTAAGTGCACCGCAAAGCTTGATTCATGGGGTCGCCGGCTGAGGAGGAAACAGACTGAAGCTATTGATGGGTGCAGGGACAAATTAACAAGGGTGATGGAAGATGATTCTCCAGAAGCATATGAAGAAGCACAAAAACTTAAAAAAGAATTGGCTAAGTTACTGGCTCAGGAAGAAGCATTCTGGAAACAGCGGGCAAAGTCTTTTTGGATGAGGGATGGTGACATGAACACTAAGTTTTTCCATGCGGCAGCAACAAGTAGAAAACAAAGAAATAAAATATGCATGCTGACTAAGGCGGATAGCTCGTTGTCAACGTCCAGAGAAGGAATGTGCAGTATTGTCAAAGAATATTTTTCTGATATTTTTTCCTTGGGTGATACAGAATATGGTCCTGTGATCAAAACTATTAAACCTTGTGTTAACAATGCGGCTAATAATATGCTGACTGCTTCCTTCGAGGTGAAGAATTTAGAACATCAATTTTTCAAATGCATTCGGATAAGGCGCCGGGGCCTGATGGACTCAATATAATCCAGCTTTCTATAAACGTTTTTGGGAGCTCTGTGGTCAGGATATTGTGCGGGCGGGCAGAATCTGGCTAGAGCAAGGGAGATTGTCGGACCAGATTGGAGATACGAATATTGTCCTCATTCCGAAATGCGATTCACCCACTCGGATGACAGACCTGAGGCCTATCTCAATGTGTAATGTTATTTATAAGATTATTTCTAAAGTTCTAGCTAATAGACTTCAAAAAATTCTCCCAGATTGTATCTCTATGGAACAGTCGGGTTTTGTCTCTGGCCGTAATATATTGGATAATGTTGTTTTAGCTAGTGAGATTATTCATTATATGAAGTGTAAAACAAGGGGACAAAGGGGAGAGGCTGCTCTTAAGATTGATATTAGCAAAGCATATGATAGAGTTGACTGGGAGTACTTATTTGCTGTTTTGAAGCAGATGGGTTTTAGTAGTAAATGGGTTGGTTGGATGCGCATGTGTGTTACCATAGTTACATATACAATACTAGTGAATGAAGATCGAGTTGGCCCGATAATTCCGCATAGAGGACTGAGGCAGGGAGACCCTCTCTCACCATATCTTTTTATCTTGTGTGCAGAAGGTTTTTCAGCCCTTATTCAACAAGCAGAAAGGACAGGTTTAATACATGGGATCAAGATTTGTAGGGGAGCCCCCACAATCACTCATTTGCTCTTTGCGGATGACAGTTTTATCTTTTTTCGGGCAAATGAAAGAGAGGCAAAACATATGCAAGATGTCATTCGGGTTTATGCTAAAGCATCCGGCCAGATTATTAATTTCCAAAAATCTGAAATTTATTTCAGCCGGAACGTTGAGGAGCTGAAACAGGAGCAAATAGCTAACCTTTTTGGAGTTCGTTCATGCTTGGGAACTGGTAAGTACTTGGGGTTACCATCTATGATTGGCAGAAGTAAGAATTCTATTTTTAAATATATTAAGGATATGGTGTGGCAGAAAATTTCGAGTTGGAGTTCCAAGCTTCTGTCACAGGCAGGCAAAGAGGTGCTAATAAAGTCTGTCATCCAGGCTATTCCAGCCTATTGCATGAGTGTTTACTCACTTCCAGTAACTCTTCAAGAAGAGATTGAACGAATGATTAATTCTTTTTGGTGGGGTTCAAGGAGGGATGATGGTCGGGGAGTATGTTGGCTTAGTTGGGATAAATTAACAATACGGAAGGAAGATGGGGGGATGGGCTTCAGACATTTCCAGGGCTTCAATCTCGCCATGCTCGACAAGTTTGGTTGGAAATTATTTTCCGACCCGGATACTATGGTTTCACGCACTCTAAAGGCTAAGTACTTTCCACATGGGGATTTTATAGGGGCGGCTTTGGGCCAAAACCCCAGTTTTATTTGGCGTAGTATCTGGACGGCTCGGGTATTAGTGAGAGAGGGCTATCGATGGAGCATTGGAAATGGTGATAACATTCTAGTTTTGAGTCAACCGTGGCTCCGTAATAATGATGATCCTTGGATCCATACAAGTGGTAGTATGTTAGAGCAGCTCAAGGTCAGTCAACTAATTAATAAAGAAGAAGGAGTTTGGAAGGAAGATATGGTTCGGGGGCTTTTCGAAGATAGGGATGTGGATGAAATATTGAAGATTCCTTTACTAAATTTAGCTCGAGAGGACTCGGTGATTTGGAGATTTGAGAAAGATGGCCGGTATTCAGTCCGGAGCGCTTATAGAATTTGCATGGAAAGGATGGTGGATACGAATCATCTTAAAGTTCAAGGGCCTTGGAGGAAGATTTGGGATCTGCAAGTCCCGCCAAAGGTACGCACTTTTATTTGGAGAGCTGCTCGTGATTGCCTACCGAATAGAAATAGACTAAGGGCTAAGGGGGTCAATTGTCCAGATGTGTGTGTCATATGTGGGGACAGTCCGGAAAATAATTGGCATACCTTTTTGTCCTGTCGAGAGAGTGTTGATTGCTGGAGAAGAATGCATCTTTGGGACTCCGTGTCAGAGGTGGCTTCTAGGGCGGAGTCTTTCTTTGATTTCTTCTCAAAGATTTTTACTAGCTTTTCAATTGAAAAATTAAAAATGGTTGGGATGACAATGTGGAGCATCTGGAGATGGAGGAATTGCTGGTTATGGGAGGGCCGACGGGATACGCCGCTGGAAGTGATACACAGAGGAGCTGAGGTTTTACATGCCTGGGAAAGTGCTCGCAAAGGAAATATGGTCAGCGTAGCTAGAACTGTTAATGTCACTAAATGGAGTCTGCCGACGGGAAGGAAGCTGAAATGTAATGTGGACGCTGCCATTTTTTACGAAGGAAAGAGAGTAGGTACAGGCTGTTGCGTGAGGGACTATCAGAGTCACTTTCGAATAGCTAAAACTGAGTGGTGTAGGGCTGCATTATCTCCGTCTGAAGCTGAAGCATGGGGACTAAGACAAGCTATGAGTTGGATGACAAGTTTTAGCTATGATGAGATTATCTTCGAAATGGACTCGAAACAAGTTGTGGAAGATGTACATTCGGACAAGGTGGCCAGAACAGAATACGGAGCTCTCATCAGGGACTGTAGAGCCATTCTTGAGAGTCATAGCAACTTTGAGGTTGTTTTTACTAGGCGTGAAGCTAACGGTAGTGCTCATGCGTTAGCACGGTCATCTATCGTCTTTGCTTCTAGCGTTGTTTTTCATCATATTCCTCATTGTATTATCAACATTATTAAAAATGAAATGAATTAAGTTTTTACCGTAAAAAAAAAAGTCCCAAAATAGCCCCAAAAGAAACAACCCAGACCCAGTTAACGACCATGCCACCCCTCTGATGGTGTATTGTTTTAGACTTGGGCAGATTATTCGGTAAAGAGCGGAAGATCACAGATCATACTCGGTTTTCCAAATTAAAGATTATAGCTTTCCGAAATAATCTTCATATCCGTTTAAGTTATTTTGTAAAATTATATGTGTGTGCATGTGCGCGCCTAATACATCTTTAAATCACACTTACAACAATATTGTGTTAAATCAATTTGTTTAGGTACTTACATGACTTTTTACTTTGTATTCTAATTTTTACTATGCACATTTTGGCATTCTATATTGACTATTAATTTTAATAATGCAACAATATTTTATAAGCAACACTTTTCAAAGCAATGTCTTAGTTTTTCTTTTTCTTTGAATGGAAATCATTGTTGAGAACCATCAATTTGTGGCCTGAATTCTAGAGAACATCTTGGCACAATTTCAGAGTATTGCCCTGCAGTTAAGAGTATTCTGGCCTGAATTCCAGAGAACATCGTGGCATAGTTTCAGCACCTGTTGCATCTTTAAGATACTGAGATTATTAAGCATTCTCGAGACTTTGAGTTTTCTTTTCAATAAAAATAAGTTTGAATTCTTATGCTTCATTTATTCTTGTAGAACTCTGTGTTGCTAGATGAATTACACTTGTTTCATTTTGTAAAAGGAAACTGACAGATTATATTAAAATTCAGAAACCATCGATGTTACTAACTTTTGAATACTGAACAATCTCTTGTTGCCAAACTCACCATAATCCGAAGGTCCTCACGCAAAAGATAGAGACAAAAGATTGGTTTTATGACATTTCTCTCTCCTTCTTTCCATGGTCTTATGTGTTTTTGGTAAGATTTTCTCTGCAATGTCAATCACAATGTCTACATCTAGACATTGTGCTTGACATTGTGAAGAAAAACTTCCTAAAATGATATAAGATCCTTCAAATAAGGAGAGAGATATTTTATTATTGCTTTTTAATTTGATTGGCTATCACTCATGCCACGTACTGATACCATTGGAGATGCTCTTACTACGTTTGGACGGTTACCTCCGTTTCTAATTCTCCTCAACACAAATACAAATTCAGGGCATCTCATTTACTGCTAATAATAATAATGTTTCCGCCTGGTTCACATTTACGAGAAAATTCATTTTACGACTCATCTTTCTGCATCTTCAGCTGCACCTCATCATCAGCCGCACCGGATCGCCGCACCCTGCCCACGATATGATTTAACCTCCTATCATACTACGATCATATTACGAATGTAGTATTATATAGGAGATCCAATCAAATTATATATTCTGAATTGATAACTTAACTGCACAATTGATAATCATCTGTTTTGATTTCTGAATTAATAAAACGATATAAAAATATCAAATTGATAATTATCTGTTTTGATTTCTGTTTTGATAACTTATCTGTGTAATACAATCTTCGTCCCCAGGAACTCAGACAAATCGGCGCATTTCGACTATCCGAAGCTTTGTAATTTCGCCCAAATCCTACCACCACTCTGAAAGCCCTAATTGGCGCTCTTCAAGTTACATGAGAGAATATAATACAAGTTGCATGGCCCATGCAAGTAGACATGCAGGACAAGCCAACCTATTACATGTGTGATAAACTAATAATAATAATAATAATAATAATAATAATAATAATAATAGTAATAATAATAGTAATAATAATAGTAATAATAATAGTAATAGTAATAATAGTAGTAATAGTAGTAATAGTAGTAATAGTAGTAATAATAGTAATAGTAGTAGTAATAATAATAATAATAATAATAATAATAATAATAATAATAATAATAATAATAATAATAATAATAATAATAATAATAATAATAATAATAATAATAATAATAATAATAATAATAATAATAATAATATAATAATAATAATAATAATAACAATAATATAATAATAATAATAACAATAATAATAACAATAATAATAACAATAATAATAATAACAATAATAACAACAATAATAACAACAATAATAACAACAATAATAACAACAACAATAAGAATAACAATAATAACAATAATAACAATAATAATAACAATAATAATAATAATAACAATAATAATAATAACAATAATAATAATAATAATGATGATGATGATGATGATGATGATGATGATGATGATGATGATGATGATGATGATGATGATGACGACGACGACGATGAGGATGATGATGATGATGATGATGATGATGATGATGATGAGTGATGATGATGATGATGATGATGATGATGATGATGATGATGATGATGATGATGATAATAATAATAGTAATAATAATAATAATAAATAATATTGAAAATATCAAATATCTCAATACTCCCCCTCAAGGTGGAGTGTGAAGGTTACGAACACCCAACTTATTCCGAAGGAATCGAAAATGATCTGCCCCAAGTGCTTTGGTGAAAATATCGGCCACCTGATCATTCTTGGAGATAGGAAACGGTCGATTTTCATTACTAGCAACCCTCTATCGGACGAAGTAACAATCTATTTCCACGTGTTTGGTACGTTCATGAAAAACTGGGTTAAGTGCAATATGTCGGGCGGCTTGATTATCACAATA